TTACTCCTTCCCTTATTTGAGAAGAGCTTTCTCATGTGACCTGCAAATGTACTTTTGTCCCACTTAAAAAAAAAGGGGGGGTGATCATCTGTACCTGAGATCGTCAGGGTGGTGTCAGAGGAATGCTGGGAAGTCTGTCCACTCTCAGTCCTACTGGCACTAACCACTGCCACACGCTACATATAGGCTTGGAGAAGAGTGGCTGGAAAGCTGCCTGGCTGAAAAGGACCTGGGGGTGTTGGTTGACAGCTGGCTGAACATGAGCCAGCAGTGTGCCCAGGTGGCCAAGAAGGCCAACAGCATCCTGGCTTGTATCAGGAATAGTGTGGCCAGCAGGAGCAGAGAGGTGATTGTGCCCCTGTACTCAGCACTGGTGAGGCCGCACATGGAATACTGTGTCCAGTTTTGGGCCCCTCAATACAAGAAAGACATTGAGGTGCTGGAGCGTGTTCAGAGAAGGGCAATGGAGCTGGGGAAGGGTCTGGAGCACAGGGCTGATGAGGAGCGGCTGAGGGAACTGGGGTTGTTTAGCCTGGAGAAGAGGAGGCTGAGGGGAGACCTGATCGCTCTCTACAACTACCTGAAAGGAGGGTGTAGTGAGGTGGGTGTTGGTCTCTTCTGCCATGTAACAAGTGATAGGACAAGAGGAAATGGGCTTAAGCTGCACCAGGGGAGGTTTAGGTTGGATATTAGGAAAAATTTCTTCACAGAAAGAGTAGTGAGGCATTGGAACAGGATGCCCAGAGAGGTGGTGGAATCACCATTCCTGGAAGTGTTCAAAACACAGGTAGACGTGGCACTCTGGGACATGGTTTAGTCCAGCCTACCCTTGATTGGTTTAGTGTGGACTTGGTAATGTTAGGTTAATGGTTGGACTGGATGATCTTAAAGGTCTTTTCCAACCTAAACAATTCTATGATTCTATGATTTCCAAGACATTTGAAGGAGAGTTGCTCTAGACGTGCAGCCCACCACCCCAGTCAAGTCAGGCATGAAGCCACAGCTCTGAGTTCCTGTGGCATAGGCTGCTGCAAGCTGGGAGGGTGCACAGGCAGATGTACCCATTGAATGATCTTATACTTTAACATCCTTTTCCTAAACATCCCCCACTGACTCCATCTGACACAGGAATATAGGCAAATTAAGCTGTGTTTTGGGTTCTGCATCCACTAGGACACTAAAGACTTTGCTGCTGGTAGGATCAAGAAGGTTGTATTAGCATGGTTTGTATTGTTCCTAGCCATATCTTTTTCATCTCTTGCCAGGTCCTCTGAAGCAAGGGAATATATTGAGCTCTAAGCAAGGCAGATATTTTCATACAGAACTGCAATACAAAATAAGCAAGTATATTGTGTTCAGAGAAGGGCTACAAGGCTGGTGAAGGGTCTAGAGCACAGGCCTTATGAGGAGCAGCTGAGGGAACTGGGATTGTTTAGCTTAGAGAAGAGGAGGCTGAGAGGAGACCTTATCGCTCTCTACAGCTACCTGAAAGGAGGGTGTAGTGAGGTGGGTGTTGGTCTCTTCTCCCAAGTAGTTAGCGATAGGACGAGAGGAAATGGGCTCAAGCTGCATCAGGGGAGGTTTAGGTTGGAAATTAGGAAAAATTTCTTCACGGAAAGGGTGGTCAGGAATTGGAACAGGCTGCCCAGAGAGGTGGTGGAGTCCCCATCCCTGGAAGTGTTCAAAAAACGGGTAGATGTGGCACTTTGGGACATGGTTTAGTCTAGTCTACCCTTGATTGGTTTAGTGTGGACTTGGTAGTGTAGGTTAATGGTTGGACTGGATGATCTTAAAGGTCTTTTCCAACCTAAACGATTCTATGATTCTATGATTCTATGATCAAAAGCAGAACCCCAAATAGGGAAATTAAGTTGATTTTGTATCTTTTAAAATAAGTAGTAAGCACAACACAAGAGTTGGGATAGTAGTTCTGGAAATTGAGTAACATGGAGGAAAATGGGAAGCTTCCAAAAGACTGCAGAGGCCTCAAAAATCCCATCACTGGTTATTATTTAACTCAGGAAATAAATGTGAAAATGTCCAGCCTAAAGAGGAAGCAAAAGGATTGGGCATATCTGCGAACCACCTGCATTTCTACGCTGTTTCTTAGATGTGCGTAGCCCAAAGTAAAGGATCTTACTACATGCATGTATGTATTTCAGTGCTAGATCAGGGCTGGAATATGACAGGGCAAATATAAGAGAAGTTATTAGGAATCTTCAGTAATATTATACTTCTGGGCCCTCTTTTGGCTAAACGTGGTAATGCATATAGCAAGACTATAGGAATGCTGAAAGCATGTAACTGGGAAATGTAACTTCAAGCCAAATATTATACTAACCAGGTCATTGTCTCAAGTTTTTCCCGCATATTTGCATGTAAGAGGCAAAGAAATAGAAACAAAAATAAATAGTTTCTCTATACTGAGGTTCTTACTAACAATAAAGTCAGACAAAAACCTTTAATTACAGGACTCAAACCTGTTTGTTGTAGAGTCCGTTAAATCACACAAAACACTTCAGAGTGACAAAATATTTTAAAGTATAAAATACCCATGTTGTGGTGATAAACACAGTTTATATTAAAAAGCCTAAAAAAGGAAATTTAAAAAAAAAAAACCTTAAAAAAAGAAGTAGAAAAAAACCTACCCATATTTTAACAAAATTCGTATTTGAAAAAAAAGCATATTTGGAGGTGGGCTAAGTACATGCTGATTAGCAATATTAATTTACTAGTTTAGACATTACCTTAAATGCCTTTTTCTTTTACCCATGTAAAGAAATCAATCTCTTGTATAGTAATTTTTAGAGATCACAAGCATATTTTTGCACTGGGTCAACTAGCACTCTACCAAACAAATCCCATGTACAATTCTGGAGTTAGCCAGAACACATTGGATGTGACCACCTTTATTTGAGGGGGAACAGAACTTTTCTGTAAGGACATGAAGCTGTGATGTTCCAAGTAGCTTCACAGTTCCAAACACATTAAATTCATTAGTATAAAGATCTAGTGTTCTTTCCATAATGATATAGCAAGGAATAAAATCAATAATTGGGTCTTGCATTTTCCAGACAGTCAATCTTCAACTAGTAGAATGGTCATGAAGTAGGGAAGGATGGATAACATTGATGACATCAGTTTGTAACTCTTTTCTGTTCAAGCCTCATTCATCCCTAGGTTTCCTCCCTTCATAGTCACTACACAGACATGTTTTCCCTTCAGACTTTCAGGATATCCATGTGATGATATTTGTTGGATTTGGTTTCCTGATGACCTTTCTGAAGAAATATGGATTCAGCAGTGTTGGTATCAACATGCTCATTGCTGCCTTCGGTGTCCAGTGGGGAACCCTGATGCAAGGATTTTGGCACATAAGAAATGGGAAAATTCATGTTGATATCAAAAGGTACCTGTGAATTTACCAAAATTGACATTTCTATCTCTTAAGATATCAGAAGCCATAAAGTACAACATCTGTGGGATCAGACTTCTAAGTTCACTGAAATGTGATTGAGCCTTACTGTCCACCTGTCAACATTCATCTGCCCTTCACCTCTAAAGGGGCAACACCTGGTGCACTGGGCCAAGGGAACCAAAGGGTGGGATGAAATTTGAGGTGTTATGTTACATGCGGGCCATAAGTCATGTAGAGAGACTGCTTTGAATCTCTGCGGTTGTGGAAGCTGGCAGATTTCCAGCAGTAGCACAGCACATCCTGCATCCAGCAGGCATGAAAGGATCTGTCCTTCCACAACACATGGGGTCACAGAAGAAAGGCTGGAACAGTGTGTCTGTCCACTCATGAGGTTTTCTCCTACTTCTCAAAGAATTATTTGCAAGAGCACTATACTGCAGTAAGGTTTGGACCCCAATCATAGAATAAGAGACCTCATGAGCAATGTCTCTAGATACTTTTAATCCCCCTCCTATTCATCTGTCTGCTTCTACCAAGGTCTCAGAGTGTTTTCCACATCTGCAGTTCTGTGTTTTGAGTCAACTTGTAGACAATTTTGAAAGGAACAACATCCAAACATTACTGAGGGACAAGCAGGAATAACCTAAGTAGCTCCTTAATGCTTACAGAGAGGCATTTGCAGAAGGACCCATAACTTAGTGCCCCTTTGGGCTGCAAGTTTTTGACCAATTTGTCTTTTTATTTATCTTTGCCATTCCCTATAACCTGTTAACACTGGTCCTTCCTGACAGCTAATGAAAACATGATGCACAGTGATAGAAAGGCATGCAAGGTTTTTGAAATGAGATAAACCATCTGACCAAACCTAAGAGCTCCCTGTCATCTTTGGAGTTCAAGTGACAGTCAGAGCTGGAAATGTCCCCTGCACATCTGCAATACACATCTCATCTGAGTTTTCACTATAATTTCAACCAGCCAAGAATGTATATATTATAAGCAGGAGGCAACCTTCCCACACTTTTTCCTCAGCAGCTGGTAAGATCCCTACAAAACCCATCTGGAAAGGTTTGATTTAATTTTCATCCACAAAGATGATCTTGATCATTTTATTTCTGAAGAGTTAAAGCTCTATCATTTTAATGATATGACAGGTTTGCAGCCTTATTTCAGGTCTCTTTAAACTGACTTTCTTTTTTCCTGTTTTTGTTTTGCTTTGTTTTGTTTTCATTTATTTTCCTAACTTCAGCATGATAAATGCAGACTTCAGTACAGCAACTGCTTTGATTTCATTTGGAGCAGTCCTGGGGAAAACAAGTCCTGTTCAGATGCTGATCTTGACAATTCTGGAGATCACAATCTTTGCATGCAATGAACATCTAGTTACAGAAATATTTCAGGTACAACTATTTAGCAGTAATTGTTTTCTGTTTATAACAAATGCTTTCACTTTGTAATACTTCCAGTTTACATATTTTAGGTTCTAGTTTCTACCATAGAAAATAAACCATTAAAGTCACCCAGACTCTCCTTCATCAGATCCTCATCTTTATGCTGTATAAAATCTTTGGCATTATTTTGGGTTCCTATTACAGGCCACAGATGTTGGAGCCTCAATGACCATCCATGCTTTTGGGACTTATTTTGGTTTGGCCGTAGCTCTAGTCTTGTATCGTCCTGGTTTGAAAAACAAACATGAAAATGAAGAATCAACCTATCATTCAGATATATTTGCCATGATTGGTAAGTGAAGTAATAGTGAGTCCTGATCATTGTTCATCCCTCTTTCATCCCTATGTTTTAATGATTGCCTATTATTATGCTGCATCCATTTTCTTAAATACAGTCCTAGAGGCATATACGTTTTTGTCTGATGCATGCACAATTTTTTCAGTGACACACATGTTTTTACAGTTTTTCCTTGTTTAAAAAAAGGAAAGATCAAATTAAAGATGCATTTTCACTGTGCATTAGTGAAAAGGTGACTCCCTTTTTTGGTAAATCTTCTGTTATAAGCAGCATTTCCATAGCAATTGGCCATAATTAAAAGTATTGAGCTGTGCCTGTCCCACTAATGAATGTTAGAAACCATACATCTGTCTGTCTGTGAGATCTATTCATAAATCAATTTACCAACTAAAACTATCAGTTATATCAATAGATGATAAAGGATTTGCATGTGGACTGTCTTGCTAATGCATCCTGTTCTGGTATGGTTTTCATAGCGGTGGTGAGCTCTGGCAGTGAATGGGGCATGACAAGGGGTCACAATGTGTTAAAAGTATTCCAGCAAGATTTGACAGAGACCATGTGTCAAAATCCCAGCTGCCAGTGTCAAAAGCTTCTGCATAATCTAGTATTTCTTCCAGCATTTTGGTTATTTCATGCTTCTTATTGGTCATCTTCCTCATTTCTTGCAGATAGTTCTGTTGTGTTGGATCTTTCACATTGAAATACCTCTTGTGACTGAAGAGTCTTTGTTTCATTTTGACTTTTATTCATCCAGGTACTCTGTTCCTTTGGGTTTGTTGGCCCAGTTGTAACTCTGCCATGGCATCTGAACGGACTAAAGCAATTGTCAACACTTACTATTCGTTGGCTGCATGTACTGTCGTAACATTTGCCCTCTCCAGCCTGGTGGATCAAAAAGGCAAATTCAGTATGGTAAGAATCACATCGCAACCTCTGTTAAATCGAGTCACCCCTCTATAATAAGGATGATTAGGCAGATCCCCAATATCTGTGAGCTATCTGGACCCTTTGCTCATACTGTGGGCAAAATTAGAGCTATTATACTTCTAAAAGCTATAATGTAAGATTGGGCCCTGAGGCAACCCACCCTGCTTTAGTTGTGTGATGATTCTTCAGTGGAATCACGGCATCTGGAGAACGAAAAGCTCTTAAACATTATAGCGATGGTCCTGCTCCCTTGTTCTCTCTTGTCCACAGAACGTGCTGGACAATACAGACATTAGTCCAACGTTCAGGTGGACTTTTGGATCTTATTCCAAAGAAGATCCTATGTGAGTTACCGTACTGCAATAGCCAAAATAGGTCTCTCAAGGCAACAACCTGTTCCCTGGCAATCTCACTGTGCAGCCGCACAACCGACAAAGCCAAACTAGGTTGGAGCTGCCAGACTGCCAACCTTTCATCTCCTTGCCCTGATATGCAGACCTATGTTTTCACCCACTTCTTTCCAGCAGTTGCAGTGTTTATCTAAGCCCAGTGTGAGCAGGCACAGTTCAATGAGCTTGCAGAATTTGCCACTGTTGTAGGAGGCAGTTCTTGCTGGCTCAGCCTGGCTTCTCAAGAGGTCAGAGGAGTTTTAGTGACTTTGCAAAAGCTGGGCTTCATTAAACTGGCCCCAGTTAAATTGGCTTAGAACAGCTTTGAAACAACACCCTGAACATGTAACAGGGAACCCTGTTTTAAATTCCTGTTCATTCTTCATTGGAAAAATCCTACCTGAAGAAAAGAAAAACTTCTGTATGCAAAAAAAGCCTTGAAATTCACTCAGCCCTAAAACAAGCCTCTGTTCCACATATATCACCTCCACCTCTGTATACTCTTTGCAGGGTCTCATCCAAAATGCCACCCTGGCAGGAGGAGTAGCAGTGGGTACCTGTGCTGACCTGTCAATCCACCCTTTTGCTGCCATGTGCATTGGGAGCGTTGCTGGAATCATCTCTGTCCTTGGGTTCCAATTCCTGAGTGTAAGTATTGAGGACCCATCTCTGCTCTCATTTACTTATTGCTTCACTGGGTTTACTGGAGCTCCCTTGGTTTGCTAGAAAGGGAGTTTAGAAACTGGCTGATACAGTACAGAGAGTAAGCTCCTGATAACAGTTATTTTTAAAGCAGTGTGATTTAAATAGATGCTCATGAGCTAACTTCAGTCCGTCACCTAGTTATAAACAGAGAAGAATCACAAAGATATTAGAGTTCATTAAAGTTGGGATTTCTGTTCAAGGAGCCACCAGAATTTTGCTCCCAGTGCATGTTTCAGTGAAATAGTACTAATTATATTTCAGTCTTTTAAAATTTCTAAATAGATCTGTAATCAAAAAATACTTTTGAAGTATCAAATGGAAGTGTTTCATGTGAAAAATGTAGAAACAAACTGTTCTGACTAAAACTGTTTAAACTGGCATTTCCCAATGGATAAACATTCTGGAAGAAAATGCCTGACTAGCACACTCAGAACAGGCATGTGTGTGTTGCTTAGCCACCTCTTTCAACCTTTGCTGCAGTGGCTGAACAGATTAGAAATATCAGTGGACTGTCAAGTGTTTTGTACCATTATATTTATGATAGTGGTGTGGACATTTGTACCATTATACATATATACTTGTTTTTTTCTTCATATAAACAATTTCACAGTGAAGGGAAAGATAGCAGGTTTTATAGCTAAACTGTGTGTACATGGAATAAGTTAAATTGTTTCTTGTACTTCTGCACTACTTTCTTTTGCATATCATTCTAGATATAAGACTGTAAAGTCACTATAAACTTCATATTTCCCCTCATTTCAGCCTTTGTTGGCATCCAAGCTGAAGATTCAAGACACTTGTGGAGTTCATAATTTACATGGTTTACCTGGAGTACTGGGAGGTATCGCTAGCATCGTAGTAACTGCAATAAACGAGGAAACTAAGTGAGTTATATAGAGAGAAAAGAGTTTATTGATTTTTGAAGGTCTATCCTAATTTTCCACCTTTCTTGGATCTAATTACGATTTTTTTTTTTTTTTCAGAAAATGCATCTTTGATTTGATGTCAGACATTGTGTTCTGGTTTAAATAGGACTCTTCTTGACATCTTGCTTTTAACACACTGTTTATATGCCAAGCTCATTCCAAATTAAAAGCTCAAGTAAAAATAAATAAAATAAAAACATCATAAAAACCAGCATACAGAACCATTCAAATGTAGAAGAATCTTTATTATGATTCTACAATTACACTGCTGGTAATTGTAAGATTTCCAAGAAAATTGGCAAAAAAGGTTATTCCCACCACCCTAAAAGACCCGAAGAAGATGAAATGGTTGGACTGGATGATCTTAAAGGTCTTTTCCAACCTAAACAATTCTATGATTCTGTGATTCTAAATGCTGGTCTTTTTGACCAATGGGAGCATTCTTTAAAGGCTTATGAGATACTAATAATCTTTTCAAAGAACTTGTTTTCATCTGTAGTCTAAAACAAAACCAAAAGAAAATCATGATTTCTGTCTTGTACGCAGCAATGCCAGGATATTTTCCTAGGAGCCATCTTGTCCATCAGACAGCAAGTACAATGTTGTAAGACCAATTATCAGTCTCAAAGTGTAACAATTTTTTTTTATTGTTAACGGTTTGTTTTTCTGTCCTTTTCAGGGCAAGTGTCCTTTTTACTCCTGGCAGGCAGGCTGCTGCCCTGGGCAGTACAATTGGAATTGCACTGGCAGGCGGAGCATTGACAGGTCAGTATGATGCATATAGCAACTGAAATATATGTGAATTTAGAGGTTTGCCCATGGAGAACTTCAATGTATCAACAATTTCATGCAAATAATCCAAAATAGGAAAAGAGAAATAATGCATGATGGGACACTGGCAGAAACTTAAATACAGAAAAGCAGTTTTCCAATAATTTTGTCTTCAAATGAAGCCTAGATATCTTACTGAAGACATGCTTCAAAGATACTGGGTTGTATATATAGGAATAGTAAGATGTTGTTCTGGATGGAAATCTTCTCTAGATTCAGACACTTAAAATTCTGAACAGGAACTAGTTTGAGATATTCATTTAGGTGTCATGTGTTTCCATGTGATTGTGGATACATTCTAAACAAAAATTCAGCCTGAAATAGAAAATTCCAGTGGAATCTGGGAAAGGTTTGAGCAATTAAAAACAAGTTCTTATTCATGTCAACATGAAGAAACCTGCATCACCTCTCATAATGAGTGACCTGACATCCCAATATGGTTGGGCACTTCTGTAGGCTACGAAACAAGTCAGAAAACTTTGATGACTCCCCAAGGCACATCTAAGGAACATTTATGTAGGCATTTTGTCCATTTTTTAACCTCTGATGCTGTTTTTCCTGCAGGTGGTATTCTAAAGCTGCCCTTCTTGGGACAAGCATCTGACCAGAACTGCTTTGATGACTCTGTTTATTGGGAGGTAAGATACAACCTCCCTTTTTTTTCATTATGTCAAAAGATGTACAGCACACTGCAGTCCTGCTCTCCTGGGGTTTGTTGTTTGCACATGAGTAAGCTTTCAAAAACGTTGCTCTGCCCCAGGCTGTGAATCTATCAAGGCCACCTTCAGGATCTTTTTTGGACTTTCTAGCTAGTCATGCCATTTACATTGGACTGACCTTGAACAAAAAGAGGAAATAGAGACCTCAGTGGAGGTCTTTATCTCTCTTTTAAGTGCTCACTGTGTCAGGTATCCTCCTCCTTCTTGTAGTTTTGACACATGACATTTGCATTTCTGGCTAAATGGTGCTGCTTTTCTCCGATCATGTAGAATTTCATACTGAATGAAATTTGGAGCACTTCTTCAGTATTTGTAGGGTGAGTCTATTTAGGCTGAGCAGAAGCTCTTCTGCATCCTGGTTGAATGATCTGACCACTGAGGTTACCAGAAAACGATGGGTCTCTTGGCACTATTGTTTTATGCATGAAAACACAAACAGTGGGACTAAGAAACAACTACATCTGAAATAGCCCTGCTAAGCTCCCTTTACGCTCAATGAAGAGATGGCTCTAGATTGCAGTTCATTTGAATCCTTCCAGATCTATGTTAGAATACATAACTAAAACCTTGAAAGTCTCTATATTCCCCACTGATAATGAAAGACCTGCCGCTGTCTACCTCAAATGTAGAGCTCTAGACTGTGGAAACCTAGATTTGATCAGCTGAATCTCACATACATCTTTGAGTTGGATGCCTACAATCAAGTGCAGAGCAGAAACTCAGACATAGCTTTCTTCTTGGCTAGCTTAAGAAGCTCCCTCTACTGTTTGTAGGCTTTCTGCATCTCCCTTTATCAGAAACTGACGACAGATTCTTTGTATAGGCAATCTGAATTTTATCCTTTATGCCAGGACAGACTAAAAAAGGCGAGACAAGAAAAAATACATGATATACATTCCTTGTAAATAAAATGTTGTGAAGGAGATTTTATTAGATTTTAATGAATTAGACGCCAGTATGGACCACACAATTTGGCTTTTGGTGACAGAAAGTTTGCAGTCTAAGGGGAAGTTTTGAGCCAAAAGATCAGCTGTAGCAATGACAATCAGAAAAAACCCAACTTTTCATGAAAGTTCTGTAAGTCTTTCGCTGTTTGACCTCTGGAAAGTCAAAACACTGTTTTTTGGCAAGACCTGAAATAGGCTGTCATATGTAAATCATAAAAAATGTCAGGAGAAGGAAACTTTTAAAGTGTGGCTGAAGAATTCACAGCCTGTGTTGACCAGTGATAATAATA